AGTAGGAGGAGCAGGATGTCACCAGAGCTGTCTGTCATGCTCTTAGGGTGAGAAACTGAGCACTGCTTGTGTTGGATTTAACTTACGAAACACTGTTTTGTAAGTGTGCTTTGTGACAGTCGTCTTCGTGTGAAATTGTATACTTTTTTTTTTAAGTTGCAGTCAAATAAGCTTATTAAAACAATTTATATTTCATGTTAACATTTCTGATTAGTGCAAAGCTTTCTTGTTTCTCAGAATTGACTTTTTGTCTGCCTGACTCATTCCGTGGTCTCATTATTCAGTGGATGTCACATGAAAAGTCGTGTTGGAGGTGATGGTAGTGTACCACATACTGAGTTTATGATACCATCAATTGAATTGAGCAGAAGGAAAAGGGTTAGGAAAAAATGCTGTCTAGGCATCCTGTAATAAAAGTACTTTTTGGAAGGGCAAGAAAAATGTGTGGTTGTGTAGGAAAGACTCAGTCATGTTTGGTAAATCTGAAGCTTTTCACAGGCACAGCTTCTGTTTGTGTTCAAACACTTTGTGTTTGAGATGTTTATTTAGGAAAAATGGCTATAAATCAGAGCACAAGAGAAGAAAACCACAAAACGTGACATTAGTGTTGTGTAATTTCTCCTAAATTATTTAATTGGAAAATTGTTAGTCATTGCTTGTGTGGCTCCTGAGTGTGTATGGATATAAATCAGTTGTTTCTTTCAATTGATATGTGGTAAACCTGCTTGTTGAGGTTTTTTTTCCTCTACCTGTTGTAGATTTTCTGATCAGAAAGTCTGCATTCTAAAGAACAGAATCGTTTGAGATCAGCCATCTTTTCTTTTGACATTGTATTTGAAAGGGTAAATACAAATTTGTTAAGCTATGTTTAAAAAGGAGAAAACTATAAATTCACCTTGTCTGTGAGTTAAATTTGAACCTAGTACTTTCTGCCTTGTCATCAGATTGTGTACATCAGGTTTGTTTTTTTCCCTCCCACGTTACCTATTTATACATGGTGCATAAACCAAGAGAGATGGGAAAAAAACTCACTTTGCTGGAGTAAGTCGGTATATTGACATTGTTTATTCCATATTGCTGGCAAAAGTAAAATGGGAAATACAAAAATGTATCATTATAATAGGCATACAGGAAGGAAATTTTTGTGACTGTAAGTAACTGGCAGTTGTGCAGTTTTATATAGACCTTTCTCTGAACACTCAGATTCTTTTAGCTCTATATTGAAATTGTGAAATGGACTAGAACTGAGATTTGAGGAACACTAATTAGAATCAGCATGTCAGTTCAGGCTTTACTCAGGTAAAGTTTGAAAAACAGCTTAGCATGTAACCTATTATAAGCTGCCTTTCAAACAAGTGATGATGATTGCTTGTTTATCACACTCTTTTCCATCTCTTTCACAACAGGTACAGAAGACAATGATGTAATACTGCCTTTCTTGAGAATGTGGCCTTTATTTGCATAGTTCCAACTTACTGGTGGAACTTGCCATCAGAGGTGGGTTTGAGGGTGGATGTTTTGGTTTTTTAATTATAAAAGTGACTAATGTCATTCAGGTGAAAGTTAGTCATTGAGTAATAAAAATTTGGGATATAAGTCCATTATGGGCATTCTTCCTGTTTTTCCCAGAATCTCTCACTGCTGATTACTTACACATTATACTTAGTAGGTCACTTGGGAGCAAATATTTCAGTGATTATGTCTGTCTGTTTTGTTTGTTGAGCCATTATTTCCCATTCTGAGGAAGTACTGTGAAGTCATGGAATCTCTGCTGTTCTGGTAAGGTGGAAAACAGAGGGATTCCTCAGTGGTCAGCAGTGTTTCTAGCTACCTTTGGGGTTTTTTTTGCCTCTGTGTTTCTGTCAGTCTGCATGATTTCCCCTTTGTAAATCCCTCTTCATGTGTTTGGAAGTAGTTTCCAGGATCTTTTCCTCAACCTTCCCAGCCAGCAGGGTGAGGCTAACAGGCGTGCACTTGCCTGGATCCTCCTTGTCCTTGAAAACAGCATTGACACTTGCTTTCTTGTGTCCACTGGATCCTCACCCATCGGCTTAAAACTTTCCAACACAATTGAGAGTGACCTCACGATGACAGGCAGCTCTCTCAGCAGTCAGGGTGGCATCTCATCAGGTCCTGTGGAAGTGTTAGGCCCAGTTTACTTAAAGATTTCTTTATCTGATCCTTCCTTGCTCAGAGTAAGTCAGTCGTGCTCCAGAGTTTCCACTGGTCTCAAGGACCTGGAATTCCAGAAAACAGATCTTGCTTGTTAAGATCAAGGTGAAGAAGGTGCTTTGACTTTTTGTATCATTTTGCTATGTTCAGCAGCGGAAGGCCAATGTTTCCCCTAGCCTTCCTTATGCTGCTCATGTACCTGTACAAGACTGTGTCTTTGACCTTCATATCCCTCACCAGATTCAGCTCCAGGTGGACTTTGCCTTTCCTAACCCCATCCCAGTGCATTCAAGTGGAGTACCTGTATCAGATGTGTGCAGACACTTGATGTGGCCCCACTTCATATCTATTTGGTTGATGGTACGATCTCTATTGTCCACATCATCCTGCTACTTTTCCTTGGAATCCCTGACCACCCTCCCTCATTCAGAGGTCAGCATCTGCCTCTCTCATCATCTGGTTTAAGCCTTCCCTTAGCAGATTGATCAACCTCTTGGCAAATACGCTTTTGCCACACACAGTGTCAGGATCCTGCCCTACCTCCCCCTCTGTTCTCAGTCTTCACAGAAGTTCCTGTGGATGTAAAAGCTGAGTCCTAGCTTTGTCACAGTCCTCACAACCACTTGTTCATCTGCAGGATCTATCTGCTCCTCCTCAAGTCCTTCCCCTTCACCAGCAGGATGAATGAGACACCACTTGGCTACCAGGCATTGACCAACACCCTGTGAACCACATAGTCATGCTTGGTATGCTCCTGGTCTCCCCTAGCCTTATCCATGATGCTCATATGGAAGAGCAGCTGAGAGTAATAGTCTGAGGACCAGATTACTACCAGCATCAGTAATAGCCTGTCCGTGGTGTCCAGGATCCAGGTCACTGGAAAGCAACAAACTCTGGTGAGAAGTTGGTCTGTCTGGGATGCCTTTGTCCCTGAAGCAAGGGGACACTGTTCCTTACTCTGTCCTTCCCATACTGGCACAGGACTTGGGCACAGACAGCTCAGAGGCTTCCTTTAACAGAGCTTCCCATCCATGCCTACTGCCAGGGCTCAGAACTTGCTCCTAGATAGCGCTTCAGAGGGAGTAGGAACTGTCATCCTCGTGCTGGAGCTCACTCCCAGACTTTGTAGCACTCTGCATCTCCATGTCCAGCTTGACAAGCTGAGGCTCTGTCTGCTTCTCCTTGGTTTAGTGGGGGTTTCTGTAGATGCAGGAACTTGGAGGGGATCTTGTCCATCTCCTTTTCAGCATCCCTGATGTGCAGTCTGCCCACCTTCTTCAACAGCATGTCTGCTTGATGAGACCGATCCTTCATCAGTGCATGCTTAGAAGAGCACAATGTGGGATTTTTTTTGTTCTAAACCTGGCAGATTCAGGAGTATAATACTACATCATTTTGTGTCTAGAGAGTGTATATATGTGTGTAGTGTATTAATACCATGTATGTAAGTCTGTGGTGCATGCATGCTGCATGTGGTAAAGTTAAAAAGAATAGTAAATATGGATGATCATGAACTTAAAGATTAATTTTAGCAGCACAGTATCTGTATTCGATATAAAATAAGGTTTTTAGAGCAAGTGTTAGAAAAATCGGTTTATTTATATGAAAAAATAAACACTTGTTACTCTGCTGTATTTGAATGGGAACACTATTGCTGTAGAAGATGGCAAACAAAGGGTTATCATAAATAGTACACAGGAGAAGTGTGGAAGAATGACAGCTTGTTTGGGTCTGATTTTGATTAGATATCTAGAAAAAAGAAAACGGGGCATTAATGAAACTTGTGGATAATATTAAGCAGAGAAATTGTAAATGCAATTGAGGACAGTCAAACATGAAACGAGTAAGCAAAACCCTTGGAAACACGTATGTCTGACTGAGAAAGTGATGAACACAATTTCAATGTGTCAAATAGAAGCGAGCAGAATGGAAGGAAATCTGTCTGAAGTGGACAAGCTTTCTGAAGCCCAGAAATCAGGAAGACTGATGGGTAGGAGAGTAGATCAGGTAGCTTGACAAAAAAGTAACAGTAGTAATCCTTCCCTTGAAGGTTCTGCTGAATGATGGTTAGGATTTAGTGCCGTGTTTCTACGGAGATCAGTTTATGAAGTTCTGAAGTTCACATGTAGGACTTGGTGAGGTTTCTTCAGTCTAAAACAAAAAAGACTCCAGCGCACTAAACTATCAGAATGGAAACCTTGGCATTTTAAGTGTGATTAATAGTGAGAAAACTTACTATTGTGTGATACTTCTTTCTGATCTATGTGAAAGATGTTAGGGTGGTGATTCCTTTCTCTCTTGGTTTGCAATGAATGTCATGAAGGAGGTTTTCTAAAGCAAGGAAGAAAGGAGAAATTCCTAGTGAAGCTTTTGACAGTTTCAGCTTACAAGCTTTCAAAAAACAATCATGAAATACAGTGGGGGGACTATGATAGGTGGGATGAATCTTTGTATAACATAAATCATTTCCTGTATTTCTTGTTTGCTTTGCAACCTTTGTGTTTTGATGGAAGACTTTGCTTTACTATTTATATCCTTTGCTGCTGCCACCTGACTGACACTTGCATGCTTTACCTATTAATAGTTTTCCCAGGTACTTGTTTCACTTGCATCTTGATAACAAATGTTAGTGAGATATAATTAATCAATGAAATCATAAAATGTTTCTTTTCCTGGCACTTGAAAAATGCATATGAAATGTTCCTTAAATCAACAGCCGACAGGGGTTTTTTTCTTTCTTATTTGAATGTATGTGGAACCCTGTAGGTTGCATGATATTAGTCAATTTACTCTTTTTTTCAAATTTCTCTTTTTATTTATCTCTCTAGGATTATCTGTTCTTCCTGGGTCGTGACAGATTATTACCTGTTTGTGTTCAATGGGACGACGAATTCATTTTGTGGTCGACCCTCAGGGTTGGTGCTGCATGGGCCTAATTATCTTCATCTGGTTGTACAATACAATCTTCATTCCAAAGGTTATCCTTTTTCCTCACTATGAAGAAGGAAATATTTCAGTTGTGGCAGTTTTGTGTAAGTCATTTTAACTTTGCTGTTTTTTCTACTAGTAATGATAGTATCTCTGGGCAGTACTTGGCATATATGAGAGGTCAGAAAGCTAAAGGATAAGAGTACTGGGAAGCATGCTGCATGTTTTGTGTTCTGAGAAATTGAGACGCTTCATTTTAGAGGTGTTATGGTAGGACTTGGTTGTGTGGAAGCTGGTGAAGAACATTAATATGGCTTTCACGTCCTGTAACTAGAACGTGTTGACCGGATTTCAGGTCCACATCTCTTAGTGCTTCTCAGAATTTGGGATGGTAATACTTATGACTGGCAGCAAACTGAGTTTTGTTCGTTTTGTCATGGGTCCCTGAATGGGTGAGCTCTTATGAGTTGTGCTAATAGATTTTGCTGGAAAAAAGGCTTGAATTGTGTCTGGAACCAGCTGTGAAGTGAAGATGCGCTAATGGGAATATTCTTTCACACAGAGGCTTTGAGGTGTAGAGTGATTGGTCTTTGATTGATAAGACAGTGGAGGAACTTCTTAGAAACAGTAGTATGGTCATAGTGGCATTCTGCTGATGCTGTTAGAACTGTCAACTGCTGCCTTTTCCTATCTTTTTTTTAAGACTGGCAAGTACTTAAAGTTGTAGACCATATATTACCAAAAGATATATCTGGAATTGAATGAGAAGGCTGAGTAATTTTCAGCTCAGTGCTGGAGCATCTGTATTTTTGATGTAGCATATAGTAGATATTCTGTACACCTGAAAAAGACATGACAAATGCTTATTTATTTTTTTCAGGTTATTACTTCTGCTCATTGTTTTGTATAGTTTCATTGCTTAGAGCCTCAGCAGCGGATCCAGGAAAGCTACCTGAAAATCCAAAGATACCAATTACAGGTACATTAAGTTGTGTCTGTATAATTGAATCAAAGTTATTTTATTATCCTCAAAGTAATTAGGAATCAATTTGACTTTGTGAGGTTTGAGGGAAACCGTGAGCTGTCTCTGCTGATTAAGTGTTGTCACTGTTTTTAACTTGTAAATTTCTGTCACTCTCCCTTGTGGAGAGTCAAAGCTTCTCTTTCAAAACTTGTATTCCATCAGAAGTTCAGTTCTGTAGGACCTTCTGCTAGGAAATTTTCCCACAGGAACAATTTTTTGCATTCTTGGCTTTCAGACATATTACATATACTTCTCACTTGATAATATTTAATAAAAAATAGTTATTGAGACAGTTAGTCATTTCAATTCTATAGCTTTTTTTTGAAGTAAATTTATAAGATGTTGAAAATGGTGGTGGAAGGTAGTCATAGGCTGGATTTTACCTGTGTTTTCTACCCATTTTTTTTCTCTTTTCAATGGCTTGTGTTTGTATGGGCTGTTAACCAAACAAACATGATGCTAATTATATTGAGTTTCTGTAGAGTGGTGTCTTAATGTGGCAGTTCCCTTCTGTTCTTGTGAATTTATCCCACAGTTCCTGCATGGTATCTGATGCTCCAGACGTTGGAGGAAATTTGAAACCTTAATGATTCTCCATGGAGAAAGACATTATTTTTATGAACTGTTTGATGCTATTAAGGTGCATACCTAATGCATGGGGCTTTTACAGCAGTTTGAAATAAAGTAGGGCTACTAAATATCATGAGCTTTGTCATATTAACAGATAATACTTCTTCAATGTAGATAATTTATTAAATGCAGTGAGGGGTGAGTATTTCAGTCTTGTCTTACAATGTGGTGGATGCCAGGAGGAAGATTTTGCTCGGTCTTCCAGATGGTAGTGAAAGTCTGGGATGATGTGTTTGGAAACATGAACTTTTTAACCTCAGAGCTGATGTTATGATCTGCATGAACTGGGCAGACAATTATAGGAAGGGGTGTATCTCCTGGGGATTCAGGTGTGTAACACTGATTGCAGAAAATCTTATGTCAGTGTTCTCTCTGCTCCTGGCAACTGATCCTTTGATCCGGTAAAATATAAGGTGCCTCAGACTTGGGTTCTGCAGTCAGAATTCTTGATGCAGAAAGAATAACATGGATTGTGCAGCCTGAGCTGGAGGATGAAGACACTCAGTGCAGTTACAGTTACATGAACAATGGAATGTTCATTTACCTGCAAAATACCAGGACTGGTATAAACTCCCTTTGTGCACAAATGTTTCCTTCTCATTTAAGGTATCCCTTTGAATAGCTCTTCAACCCGTGCATGGTCCATTCATGTCCTATGGCAGTGATATTTAATAGATACTGCTGAAGATGAAACATTCAGGCTTGACTGTGACATCAGTATTTTGATTTGATCACAGGGTTTGTCCTTGCAAAAGCAGAACTTTAGCTCTGTGGTATTCTCTAGGCCAACAGGAAGATACATTTCTGTATGGCAAAAACAGTATTCAAAAATGAGTTGGGATGTTTCTGAACTCTGCTTATAGCTACCCTGTTAGTGAGTGACACCTTTGTGACACTAGATTTATGGGAACAGGTTGTAAATCAGTTTCTATCTGTCATTATTGCCAGTTTAATGATCTCAGATATTCAGCTTCTTTACTACCAGTGTCCAAATGTTATTTTGCAGCAAGAAAGACCAGATTATATAGCTGCCTGCAGGTGTCTCAGAAGTTCTAAATTTAATTTTATTTTGTTTACATAGGGGCAGTGCTTTGCAGTATAAAGTTTCAGAATGCCTCAGTAAAATGCTCGGTAAAAACTGAGCTCTTTTTTTTTTCCCCTCACTGGGGTTTAAGAAATTTCTACATATCAAAAAAGTTTATTTAGGAAGAATCTACAAGTCAGAGTATTTACATTTCTTAGTTATCCACCCGTTTTACTTAAAGACAGAAAATACAGGCTTTTGTGACTGGAATTACTTACAGTGTGGTTGTGATTTGTTTCCCATTAAAGATGAACTTTCTGAACATAAAATTGAATTTTCATTTTCATGGAATTCCTCTAATTTGGGTGGTGCAATTTGAGATAAAGCGATAAACTGAGCAATAGTAGCTTCTGGTAGTTTCAGCTACTCAGTGTCTCTGGAGATTGACTTTTAAAGAATCTCACATTAGGCATTTAAAAATAGGGTGTATTTGTAGGTAAAAGCCTATCCTCTATCTGTTTTTTGATTGCCTTATGTGTAAAATTGCTTGTGGTGAGATGCATGTCTTAAAAAGCTTTGAGATGGATGTTGCTCCTGGAGTGTTTGTTGTGTATCATATTGTAGTTAGCTGGCAGTAGCAGTATTTCCTCAGGAGGTTTTGAAATAGCAGGGAGGTGGTATCATGATTTTGTCTAGCAGAGATGTTTTTTCACAGTAGAAGTGTAAGGAAATAATTGAGTTACAGTCTTCCTTGTCTGAGTGACAGCTTTTGTGCTGTAATAATTACTCTGTAGAAATATACAGGAGGAGAAATGATTTTGGAGGAGAAAACTGGCACAGAGTAGCAGTAACATCTTCCAGTTTAATTAAGGTCTTAGTGGGAAAAAAGTTTTTTATATGCTTCTTATCCTCAGATCATGGTATTTTTCTTGGAATTAATAGCAGACAGATTTACCTTGAGCATACTCGTATCTTGAATTTAAATCTCTCTAACGTGTCTTTATGTTTTCACCTAGAACGAGAATATTGGGAATTATGTAACAAATGCAACATGATGAGACCAAAGCGCTCACACCACTGCAGTCGCTGTGGACATTGCGTGAGGAGGATGGATCACCACTGTCCATGGTAATCGTGTGCTCTAGGTTGGCTTTACTTGAGGGGGAGGTTGGACCAGATAGCCCACTGTGGTCCCTTCCAACCTGACCGATTTCTGTGATTCTGTAAACCCAGGACATTTGTTCTAATAATCTACTCTTGTTTTAGTCTTTGATTTTGAAGTATGTGGTCTTGACTGCTGCTCATTTGTCATATTTCTTTCTCAGTAGTGCTTAATCATTTAGGCGCTTAGAGCAGGGAAATAAGAGCTTTAGGCTTTCTTTATGTCTACTGGTAGAACTGAGAGTAAGTGAAAATAAACATTTCTGGAAGTAGTTCTGAGATATCATTTACAGTGAGACAACAATGAGGAAGTGCAGAGAGCAGAACTGACATCAGGATCCCGCCAGGTTGATTTAGCCATTCTTCAAACTACCCTACTTGTCAATTACTGCTTCAGAAAATAGTGCCAGTATAGTGTTTCTGTCATCATGGCTTAGCTTGGTGCTGATGTTTGTGCCAATACTTGTGTAAAGTTGCATCCATGTAACTTCTGTAAAGTAGATTATACCAAGATTTCAGAGGGTTTTAATCTTGTACTTAATGTAGCTAGAATCTTTGTGATCCCTTTACTCCTTCCTTTTGGAGCGTGTTGAAGGAGTTTCTGAACTAGGTAGGGGTGCCTGTTCTATCTTATGTGCCTTTGGCTTCTTCCTAAGTCACGTTTATTTGTCTTTGGGGTAGCCTGTGATTGCATTTATTTCAAACCATTTGTTTGCATTTCCAGTTTTTGGACTCTGTGTAGTTCACAACCAGTGAAATGTATTGAGTAGCGGAAGATAAAGCATATCATTGTGAAATTTTGCAGACTTTATTACTTGAGTCTTACTTAAAATTGCAGGAGTGTCTTTGCCATGTGCAGACACAGACAACTATGTCTCCTGGTCTAAGCAATGCCCTCAGTAACACAATCTACACTTTAAGTGGCAGTGCCAGGGGTTCACTCTGTACAGTAACTGACATCTCTAACACAGAGAGCATCACTGATTGAGGGGGTAGTGATAAGTCAGTATTTCTTACATTTGCTCCATAAGTAATCATAAAGTCTGTTATTCACAGTATCATAACTTCAGTGTTAAAGTATTTATAATCTTGTCTTTACATGTACATACTTTGTTTCTCTGCAGGATTAATAATTGTGTTGGTGAAGACAATCACTGGCTGTTTTTACAGCTGTGTTTCTACACTCAGATCCTTAGTTCCTATACGCTGATACTTGATTTCTGCCATTACTACTACTTTTTGCCGCTGAAAAAAGAAAACTGGGTAAGAATCTGTTTTCTCTACAAAGTGAATAAATAGCTAGTATTGCAATGTAATTTGTTTCGGTATCTAGTTATTAGACTTTTCTGCTGTCACAGTTGTTGCCAGTGAAGAGAGTTCAGCTCGATATATGTTATCAAGTAAGCAAACTTATTTATGGTAAGTAACAAAAAATGCTTCTGAAAGGCTATGTGATTTATCTGTGTTAAAAACACAACATTAGTTTTCATGGAAATTTAGGAAAGGAGGAGAGAACCAATTAGATTCCTTTAGAAGTGATTATGAGTACAGGAAGAAGGAAGGTAACTACTTCAGGTGTATTCAAATTTCCTTTTACTTTCTCCAGAGTAAATTTCTGCAGAGTATATATCTCTCCTAATACCTTGTGTAAAAATGCTGATATTGCGAGAAAGAAGTGAGTAAAACATTATCATTCTGCAGGGAGAAAAATAAACATTGGTTTTGAAGCAATATTTTGTGTTGCTTTGAAAAGGTCAGGTGGGTTAAGGGAGAATTAAGTATGGTTTGTTTTACTTGTACTATGTGCAGATATCATATTTCCACATCTTGTCATCAGTAAAAGGCAGTTGAACACACAAACAGAGAAAATGAACTTACAGATTGGAATAGAGTAAAAAACTCTGGAAGTTAAGTTGTAAAGTCTCTGGTGCTCATTTATGTCTGCTGTCTGTAATGTCAGCATATTCACGGGGTTTGCTTGCAAGTTGTTCAGTGCCTGAAAGTGCCAGAACAGCACAGCCAGTATCTTGCTTTTGAAGAAAATGTTAGGAGATCTTGCTCATAAAGAAACATAAATGCTTCTAGCCAAAATCTGAAATGGACTTTGTGTTTGTACTGGACTTTAATGAACCCAAGGACACTAAAGAGAAAAGTCTAGAGACCAGGTTTAAAACATATTCAAAATTAGGTAACATTCCAGATGTTGTAAGTGAAGAGACTAAGATAGTGTGCTCTAAATTTTAGTGAGAGTTTTTCCATGTACTGAGGTGCAGCAGATTTTTTAATTCCATGTTGATCTACTGGTGCTGTCACATTCATCTTTCAGGATGCTGGAGACTGGCAAGTCCCACTTTCCATTTCATTGGAGGACTTAAGTTTATGATATGATTTTGCATCCTCAATGATATAAAATAAGAATGTTAAATTTAATGAAAAATTCTACTTCTGGACAAGAATAGGGCATAGCCTTCCAAGCTTCTGTTTGCTCCCATGTCAGTCTGAAGTGGATGTGATACTCCCATGAAAGTGTCTGTGAAGATGATGTGTCAAAGGAGAGCTGAAAGTGTAGGAAGGCTATATTCCTTGGATAATCCAGAACTGATAAAAGGACTATATTCACATGGATAGTTGCAAATTTTTATTATATGGAAAGTACCAAGGTTGAGGACTTTCTTGCAAGTGTTTCTTAAAATAACTTCAATTCCAAAGGGATTAAATGTTTTTTTATCTGTATCAGTGTTTCCATTAAAAATGTTTAAGAGAGTCCAGAAATATGGAACCTGTCTGCTTGGAGCATCTTTGCATAGACACTGAGACAGACCTGTAAAATGGCTCTTAAAATGATTGGGTCTCACATTTTTCACTTTGTTTCCAGTTTGCTGCAGATGAGCTTTTCATTATCACCTCGTTTTACAGGCATTTTGGGACCTGAGGGAGCTGTTTTGATTTTTGTGGCTGCATTTGGTTAAAAAGGGATTATGAAATTGCAATCTTTCTGTATTAGTGAAGAAATATATTCATTCCTATCTTACCTTATTAGTTAAGAAATGTCTTAAGGGTATGTTGCGTTTTGGATTTTTGTAAAGTTAATGTTTTAGAAGGTTAACTAAATGTAAAAGCCTTTGCTTCTATTTTCAGTTGCTTTGTAAACTGATTTTTAATTTACAAACTAAGTTACCTTACTACATTTCTGGACAGAGTAATTTTATACTCTCTATACTCTGAAGGATTCTTGTGCACTGGGTTTGCAGCTTTAAGTGCAGAGTCAAGCACAGTGATAGTGATCTGAACATTGGATGGGGTATTGCAGTGCTTCTAGAAGGAGAGTTATTTTCCAAAGACAGAACCTTTGTATGTAGTTGATAGTGCTTCTCAGATAGTGTAGTTTTATGGTAGAGTGTTTCCTTTTTATTAGACAGGCTGAAGGAGTTGGGGCTGTTCAGCCTGGAGAAGAGAAGAATGCGTGGAGACCTCATAGCAACTTTTCAATATCTGAAGGGGCTACAAGGAGCCAGAGAGGGACTCTGTGTTAGGAACTGCAGTGACAGGACAAGGGGTTATGGGTTCAGACTGAAGGAGGGGAAGTTTAGGTTAGATCTTAGAAAAACTTTTTTTACTGTAAGAGTGGTAAGACACTGGCACAGGTTGCCCCTGGAAGTGGTGGCTGCCCCGACCCTGGCAGTGTTCAAAACCAGGTTGGATGAGGCCTTGAGCATCCTGGTCTACTGGGGAGGTGTCCCTGCCCGTGGCAGGGGTTGTGACTAGATGATCCAGCCCCTAAAATTCTGTGATTCTATTGTGAGAGTTCCCTGAATGCTCTGACTTACCTTGAGTTATTGTACTGTGTTTAATAATTTTTAATTACAAAAAAAAATACTAAAAAACCTCAACTTAGTAATTAGGTAATTAACTTAAATTCTGTCTGTTAGCTTTGCTTTTGAAAGTAATGTGAAAGGTAGCCAAGTTATTCGCTTGGAGGTGGTCTGTGCAAGAGAGGGAAAGGGAAATCATGTTTACTTCAGACATTTTACAACCCCTAAAGAGGTAAGAAGAAGTAGTTATTAAAGTTCAAAAAATGAATACATTTAAAACGTCTTGTTGGTGGTAAAAATAGATTCATTTCAACCATGTGCAGGGAGGCCTACTTTTAATATTTACCCTTTAGAAGATGTGACAGATTAGGAGGCTGAATATATGTGCAGTAATTATTTTAACCCATTTTGGTGTGTTTGCCTGAAGAGTGGATCAGAGTCCTAAGTTTGGCTGCCTAAATTTACAGTCATGAAAAGGATCGAGTACTTTGTTCTGATTAGCTTTGTTTAGGTTCAGCTGTGGTTTTTTTGGCTTTATCTGTTTGCATATGCGGACATTTCAAATGATACTCTTCCTTTTTAAACTGGATCTGTGTTATAGTACGCAGTATTCTGTACCCCAGGGAGCTAAATATGTTTACACAATTTAGAAAAACAGTAGACACATCAGGTCTGGCCTGTTCAGACCTTAGTTAAGTCAGTGTTACACTGAAGAGTATTTAGCTTTCTCAGTTTCACACCTGCAGGATTGCAGGGCACATACTGCAGTACAGAAAATTACTAGTTTGTGTGTCTAGTCAGTATCTCTGCCTGGAAGATGACATCAGAGTCCCATGACGCTGATTTTTTAAAGTGTTGCTAAGGTTGTGATGCTATATAACTTTGTGCCACAGAATAATTTGTCAGAACTATGTAATTTTGACATCACATGAACAGGGCCGGTCAGAAGATTTGGTTACTATCAGTTAGGATTTTAGGCAAGCATTGTGCAAGATTTGTCTTTGTACATCAATTAAAGCTGAAGTACCACAGCATTCCAAAGACTCCAACACCTTCAGTCTTTCACAAAAGCTCTGTTGTTGTTGAAATTTTGGCTGTAACCAAGACCTTACATTTTTGGAATCGACAGGGGTTAGTGTTTAGCACAGATTCAAAGAACTGGATGATACTTTTTCTAAACTGCCATTTGGAACAAACTTATTCTTTCTCACTAAAAAATACTTGTGAATTTTTTGGTGGTGTGCCTTCATCTTAATTTTTGCTCTTTGGATTTGAAATCACGCATAAAACAGAAGCTGTAGAATTAAAATAGCTTTTAGTGCTGTCCTCAAATAGTAAGTTCATTACAGTACTGATTAATGCATTATGAAAATGTGATCAGCATGTTAGTAGTTCCCTCCGAATTAAAACTTATGTCTTTATTTTTAAAGGGTGAAGGAAGAAAAACCCAAACATTTTTCATTAAGTATACTGAGGTAAAGGTGATAGCTTTAAAAGTAATGGAGGAAGCTGTTTCTATAGAGAAGCAATCTTTCAGCTTTACCTCTTACTGCAGAAAATGCTTCACAGCGTTCTTAGCTCTTGTAACTGACACACTGCCAGAAAGCTGGATTGTGGTGATTGCCTCTGTCCAGCAGGAGGAGCGCAATTACTGCTAGAAATGAAGGAAATGGTAATCAAATTGTCTATGTTAGATCATAGTATAAGCAAAAGATATAATTCGAATACAACAGCATATTGATTGGTTCCTCTGCAACCTTTGGTGGTTTCAGAGGCTAACACTGGAACATTCTTAATTTTGCATCTTCAGTAAAAACCATCCAGGTCAGGATGCCTGTATCTTTTAGGAAGCACTCAGTCTTATGAATTGTGAGATGAGAAGAATAAATATGAGTCTTCTCATGACTGCATAGTTGCCCTCTCCATGGCTGTGCTGGCACAGATTATAGACACAGCTGGTCAAATAGAAGCAAAAGTAAATGCTTCGGCAGTGTATTTTACCTGATTTATAGAACCTCCAGCAAAAGAAGTTCTGCTGATACATTCTGTTTGCTGGAAATGGTGCTAGAATTATTGTCATAGCAAAAAACTCTGACATACAAAAGCCTAAGCCGTTTTGCTCTGGTTTAGTTTAATTTTGTTCCCGTTTCTAGTTATCCATTGCATCTTCTGAAAATATTGCCACCGAATCTTTTTAAGTATTGTGAGCTCTATTGGTAGAGGTGGGAGAAACAACACAGAGATTGCATTCTGGCAATGTCAGCCTGCTCTGCCTGGCACTCAGGTTTCCCAATTCCAGATAAAAGGTGTTAGAAAGTGTTCATTGTGAAAAGATCTTTTACAGTAATATTTATTTAAAGGTTATGCATTAAGTGATACTAATTAGAATCTGGAAATATGTATAATCTAAAGTCTATTTATATTATGAAGAGAGTTTAAAGGAAACCTTTT